CATGTCATCTACTTTGATGCTGTCAACAGTAACAAGAATGTGAGCATTCACACCACAGTAATGTTTAAAAGTTCAATCCATGTGCAATTATTCATATAATGTGATTATCTTATACAAGTGTGAATGTTAACATCATGTATTCATTCTTAACACAACAACAAAAATGTCAAATTGGTACCTTAAAAAATTAAAAATAAAACACAAATCAAATACTAATGCATTATTATGTTTACCAACGCAACGTAATCTTATTGCAACACAATGTCTGCCAACATAACATAATCTTATTTCAAAAATCAATATAAGAATCCCATATAAAACACAATATTGAAATGAAAAAATGTACACCCTATATCGGCTCATTGCATGATTTCCGGTTGTGGCTTCCCAACTTATCACATCTCCCGCACCTTATTTGTTTCAGTTTCTCACCCCTTGATGGGATTCTATTCTTTTTCGGCCTTCCGGGTGGTCTTTTCACAGTTGATGGGTATATAGTGAAGTCCGTGGGATCGAAACACGGCTTTTCTAATGATGTATAGGAAATATGGCACCCGAATAGGCTGCACGATATGTCTATACATGAAAGTAATGTTCCACACAATCATTAAGATTGTAACGGCTCTTCTGAATAGCAATAACAGCATGGTCACATAGGAATCCGTTGATTTGCCATTTAAAGCAAGATCATGTACGCCTTGCAATATCAACTGTAACAGATGGTATCAAATGAACTTCAAACACATCCTCATTGGCTTTGCTAACTTGCCAAGACCTACTGTCATTGAACGAATCCATAAGCATTGTTTCGAATGTAGGACAAATAAGCTCATTCCATTTGTTTGCTTGGTCACGTCGTGCAGACATTTGCCGCATCAACTAAGTACGAATTGTGTCCACCATTTGAGTGATAGGAAGATTACGTGCTTCTTTAATCCAATTAAAATGACTCCGCTGCATTGAATGTCATCACCCCATAACGCATGCCCCTACATAATATAACAAACATTGTACAATACGGAATTTAATTTCTTCGAAACTAAATATGAAATTTCACATTGCCACAAAACATAACCGAAAATTCACATCGCTACCATTCTAAACTTGACAAATGGAATACTTTAGGAAACTACTATTACCTGAAGTATGAATTTGCCCAGTGCTCAGTTACCAAGTCTTTGAAAAAATTATGTACTCGTTGCTTACCCCTCTTTTAATTTTGCAAGCTTTTCATGGAACCCTACCACAGTTGGCTTGTAAGCACAGTCACCCAAACTACTTACTAGGTGATCCCTAAATCCATTATCAATTCCTTTTATTTGGTCTCTTAAATTGCTCTTCAAGTGTTGTAAGCAATAACCGTGATGAGCCGATGGTAACACCTTTGGCATAGCTTCTAACAGACCAAGATTACGATCCGAAATAAAAGTAATCTGGCGCTTACCATCAACAACCTTTCCAAGTTCGTGAAAGAACCACGACCAATTGGTCGTGGTCTCTGAATCAACAATCGCAAATGCAACAGGAAATAGACCTACAACACAACACCATTACACAACTGTTCACAATATTTCAAAGTGAATAGAAAACAATATAAAGGAAACAGGTCATGTGAATGTTTATATCTACATTGCCCTATTACTATTGTTATTTTTGGATTTGGGTTCGTAAACATTAATGATGTGAACATTCACATTAACATCCATTAATGGATAAACTCACATTAGCAGACACAGGTGTGAACATTCACATCAGTATATACTAATGTGAATGTTCACATTATTGATAATTTCTCAATCAGTCATATTTTATTGTTGTTCACATCAATGTGTATTGATGTAAACGTTGACACCAGTGTAAATGTGGAACACACTGTGTAATCATCTATCATATGTCCAGACTATGCTGCTCAATGTGAATGTTTACATGAATAGACAAGCTAAAAAAAATACCAACCATTGTTTCCATCTTTCGCCGTTGCCGCAAGTAGCTAACATTTGTACTTTCTTTTGAGAAATGTTCCATCCAGGAATAATAAAGACCGACAAGAATTGAACCCAGAAATACACGCAACGAATGACACAAAGAAACGACAAAACTGTTGACTACTCGCATCATAGTCAATATTGATATAACTCCCCAGATTGTAACGCATCACAGCATCTGAATACCACCACAGCTGGTCAAACGATAATGAGTGATCTCCATGAATAACAGCCTTTGCTTTCTCCACGCCCAACCATACCACGTGGTAACTCACATCTAACCTATAATCCCTCTTCAAAATAATCACCACCTCACACGACCGAGTCAACGGCTGGTCCCTCACAATTTCAGATATGGTATTCGATACCAAATCCGAACTAACTCGCGGATTCTTCGATGTTCGGACATCCGTACCACAATTATATCCATCACTAAACCTCTTGATGTAGAAAAAATCATTTGCTCGTTGTGCTCTACAATGTATAGCCCATAAGCAGCCTCTCTCATCCCGCATCGCACACACAACAGTAACTCTTGTTGTCTCGTTCTTGACATATGTAAACTAAATCCCACATTGGATGGCATACTTACATAAAACATCACGAAATTCTTGTGCACCTCCAACAAACCGTTGTCCTGCATGTGTAATACCATTTGCCCAAGGAGCTGACAACAACACCTTCTCCTTATGGTGGCAAAATCTCTGTAGTGCATCAATTTCTTCCTCAACCCCCGCACGCAGCAACCCAGAGCTACTTGACTGACCAATATCACTTTTCAACTCAACAACAACAACAACTTCTACATGTTGTACCCCCATTGATTTAGCAAGCAGTAACATGTTCTGAAATTCTTCCTCATTGTCCAAATCACACCTATTAACCCCAGGTAGCCGACAGAACAATGAAATAGAACCAGCAGACAACTCACCCTATTTTTCACACAAACACTCCACCAAACGCGAATAACACAATTCGTGGGCAATATTTATTACAGTTGTATTGCAACCATATGTATACACCAACATCAAAAATGTATCCATCTCCTGTAAAAATACAACAATACAACAATCAACAATAATCCAAAACGATATGAAAATTTACATTGTGCAAAAATTAGATGACTATGTGTACAGTTTAAGTGCTAAATCTATAATTCACATTAACAAGATGTGAACATTCACATTGATACATATACTATGAATTATATCACCACCCACACAGAGACTCATTAAGCAAATATCAAAGTAAAATGAGAACATCCACATTCTTCACATAATATTAACAAGATGTAAACATTTATATTGATACATATACACTGAATTATATCACCTACACAGAGCCTCATTAAGGAAACATCAAAGTAAAATGAAAACATCCACATTCTTCACATAATATTAACAAGATGTAAACATTCACATTGATACATATACTTTGAATTATATCACCCACACAAAGCCTCATTAAGGAAACATCAAAGTAAAATGAGAACATCCACATTCTTCACATAATATTAACAAGATGTAAACATTCACATTGATACATATACTCTGAATTATATCACACACACAGAGCCTCATTATGGATACATCAAAGTAAAATGATAACATCCACATTCTTCCCATAATCTGAATGACCTCCCCTCCACAAGACCACGTAAAATGCATATATCACCCACACAGAGCCTCATTAAGCAAATATCAAAGTAAAATGAGAACATCCACATTCTTCACATAATATTAACAAGATGTAAACATTTACATTGATACATATACTCTGAATTATATCACCCGCAAAGAGCCTCATTATGGATACATCAAAGTAAAATGAGAACATCCACATTTTTCACATAATCTGAATGACCTCCTCTCCACAGGACCACGTAAAATGCATATAATTGAACAAACAGAGCATCTGATCCATATCAATCCAAAAACAGAGCATCTGATCCATATCAATCCCAAAACAGAGCATCTGATCCATCATACAAATCAAAACATAAACTGAACATGTATTCATAACCAAAATAATACTAACCCTAATCATGCAATCCTACAATCGTTATGTAACTCGAAAACAACTGATTTGAACTAGTTATACTCCAGAAAATGTGACAACCGAGCACCATCCAATTCGTCGTCTTCACTCGAAAATCACCAAACCATACTACAACAGCAACAATAAAACCCTAGCACGTCAAAGCCTTGGAACGAACATGCAAAATAGAAACGTATCAATCTGAATTAGAATGATGATGAAAAGCGTAAAGATAAAAACTGCCAAAACTGAATCAACGAAAAAACAGGCAACGTGTTATATGTATTAACACAGTATATATATATATATATATATATAAGGGCATAATAGTCTAGGTAAAAATATAAAATTAGTAAAATGGACCTTATGAAATAAAAAGAAAAGTATATGAGACTAGTCAGGTTATAATATTCCTTTATGGATCTAATGGGTTATAATAACTCTAAAATGGATTTATCAATAAAAATTTCTATATATAGTGGACCCTAAATGTGTATTTATGATTTGTATATTGTTATGTGAAAAAAAATAAAATTAAGAAATATATAGAAATCAAACACAGAATGAAACCACACCTTTTGAGCCATTATATGTTTCCTATGTGTGCACCAAGTAAAACTTAGGGCTATAAAAGATGTATAAAAAAATAAAAAGAATAGTTGATTTTTTTAGAAGGGTGGTTTTTTTTTTTTTTACAATAATAAATATTGGGACAAGTGGCAGGATGTTGTAGGTGGTGGTGTAGTGAGAAATTGGTGGTGTTGTGAGAAATTGGTGGTGTTCCGGTCTGATTCAGCCGCCAAGAAGAATCGGTCAAGGCCACAAGCTTTGACCCAATTTTATTTTCCACAGTCAATCTTCCTCCCTCTCTCTCTCTCTCTCTCTCTCACCTTCTTGGAAGACTCTCTTCTCTCGCAAGACTACCTCAAATGCCCAACATATACATACATAACTTGCCAATATTTCAACACAACCACCAAAGATTTTCCCGACTCCCATCTCTCTCTCTCTCTCTCTCTCTCTCTCTTCAAATGGCCTCCTCAGGTGGGAGTCTGAACACTTCAGATACTTCTTCTCATAATAATCACAACTTTTCATTCTCAACTCAGTTCATGCCTACTTCTTTTACTGATCTTCTTTCTAACAATGATCATCATCATCATCACATGCATGCCCAATACCAACAACAAGACAGATCTAGAACTGGCTTTGACAATCAAAAGTTCAAGTCTTCATCATCATCATCATTTCCACCACCACCCCCCTCCTCATCACCTCTCTCTCCTCCTCCTCTCTCTCCTTCTTCCTATCTCACCATCCCACCTGGTATAAGCCCAACTGGCTTGTTCATGGACTCACCTGCTTTCCTTTCTTCTTCTAATGTAAGTTCTTGGCTCCTATAGTGTTGTTCATATATGTGCAATGCTTCTTTTTAATCTTTTGGTAAATTAGATTCGTAGTCCCTTTTCTTTGTTATTTTTATCAATTTAGTTTTTATAGTGTTCTAACTGTATCAATTTTATTCTTAAATTTTTCATAGTATCACGTATAGTCTAATTATCGAAATTAGAAATAAAATAGTCCGTTCATTCTTTCTTTAAAAAGATTGACGTCTGGGTGTCAAATTTAGAATGATTCATAATAAATCATTTTGTCTTTGAATTTTGTAAAATTTTAACAAATATTATCAATTGTATTAAATTACATAATGTAAAAATTGTTACTATTGTTGTGTGGCCAAATTATGTGTATGTATCTTTTCCTTTTGGATAATATTGCATTAGTTAATGGTTTCTTTCTTTTTCTTTTTCCTTTCAGTTTTTTCAATCTCCAACTACTGGGAGCTTTGGTGGTATGGAATTCAAGGGGGAGAGAAACTTTTCTGATTTTTCTTTTCAACTACCCCAAACAAGGCCTCCTACAACTTCATCATCCATGTTTCAAACTTCTTCAAATGCAATTCCATCGGTATGTTTCAATTCTTTCTAATTGTGCCACTTCAACCTTCTCATTATCTTCTTCTTTATATATATTGCTTTATTTCCCTGAAATGTCTCCCAAAAATCTTGGGTTATTCTTTCTTATGATATGTTGTGTTACTTTTTCCACCCTTCAAAAGTTTGCCCTGATTTTAGTTATTTTTTATATGTGTTCTAAATTAAAATGTCAACAAATAATTATGTTTTAGGATTATTATTGTTAAGCGTTGTCTTAAAAATGATTAGGTAAAAAGGAGGTGTCGTGATTAACAAAATTATTTAATGAAATCTTGATGACTACAAAATGTATAAAAAAAGGAAAAATTAGAGATACCTTCTTTTTAAAAAAAGAAAAAAAGAAAATAAATAAATAAATAAGGCTATGTTAGATCGAATCCTAGTCAAATAGTTTTAAAAGCTAAGGTCCGATGCTTTTTAAATTCAAAAGAGTGGGTCCATGATGCACCCTCTTGGAAATGTTTTGGATTAAATTATTCTCATAATCATCTATATATGGTTACAAATAGAAAAAACCTCTCTTGTGATTAACGGGTGTCCTGTCACCAAATTGTTCGTCATTATCGCCGATCACGGTCATCATCATTAAGTTTTAGACAAACAAAATCATACTTTTATTTCTATTTAAGTTCACGCATGTTTGTGACAATAAAAGCTCAAAAAAATTTAGGCTTTAGGCTAAAAGTCTAACCCTATTGCACACTATTCACCCAAAAAAAATAATCCTATTGAACTTTTACAAAAATGAAATTTTTGATAATAAATTTTTTTTAAAAAAATTTTGTAATAAATCTTAAACAACAGTTTAAATAGCTTGATGATTAAACCACAACTGATTTGAAATTGGTCGATTCAAAGATGGATAATGGGATTGAGAAAAAAAATTGAAAACCAGATGATTAGGTTGCCGTGTAAGGTGAGTTTTATCGGTTGGCTTTTCTTCTTGTGATTTGTTCACGGCATGACATAATAACAGGCTTGTGTGAGGTATGAGGCGAGATCAGTAATGGCTTAATTGAACTACAAGTTAGTTTTGGATTTATATTATTGACTAAATTGTGTGTCATCATTGGAAAAAGTGGTAGCTTGTTTTTTTTATTGTATTTTTTCTTTGATGAGTGTTGTTCAATAGATCTTAACGAAAGTGTATGAACTCAGTATTGCAAATTCAATGAATGGGAACGCAAAAACCACCCAAGTCAAGCAAGAATTAGTTTATATATATATATATATTTCAATACTTCATTTTTGGTTTTCTTTAAGTAATCCATATCCTTCTACTTGAACAGGAAGAATCGTACAAAAGAAAACATCAGGATTGGAATATGAACACACCATCAGAGCAAGCTCAATTCTCAGCAGAAAAAGGCAGAGAAAAATCTGAATTTGCACCAGTTCAGGGCTTCCCCTCATCAGAAACCTCCACAACCCAAACAAACATTCACAGCAACACCGCTCCGCCATCAAGCCATATTCAACCATCCCAGTATTTGAGAGAGCAGAGAAGATCCGACGACGGATACAACTGGCGAAAATACGGGCAAAAACAAGTGAAAGGAAGCGAAAATCCGCGTAGTTATTACAAATGTACTCATCCTAATTGTCCAACAAAGAAAAAAGTTGAGAGAACATTGGATGGACATATAACTGAAATCGTATACAAGGGAAGTCACAACCATGCCAAACCTCAATCTAGCAGGAGATCATCATCTTCGCACTTGATTCAACCTTCTTCGAGCAACAACATGGATACTTCAAACCAATCAAACGCATTATCAGGAAACGCTCAAATGGATTCTGTGGCAACCCCGGAGAATTCCTCTGTTTCGTTTGGTGAGGATGACTTTAATCAAGGCTCTTCGATGAGCAAATCAGATGATGACAATGAAAATGAGCATGAAGCCAAAAGATGGTAAGTTTAGACATGCATTGTTTTGAGTGCTTGGTTTCTTTTGCATAAGGGATCTAATTGGGATTTTTATGAGCTGGCTATTAGGCATTATTTTGAGTGCTATATCCGATAAAGTTATGATGTGTTGATTTTATTTTATTTTTTGTTTCCATTTTCAGGAAAGGAGAGAATGAAAATGAGGTTATATCAGCTTGTGGGAATAGAACCGTTCGCGAACCTAGAATCGTAGTTCAAACAACGAGTGACATTGATATTCTTGATGATGGGTATCGATGGAGGAAATACGGACAGAAAGTAGTCAAGGGCAATCCTAATCCTAGGTAAGAGGTTAAGTCATTTGTGCAATGTTAATCACAACTGTTTTGAACTTGGTTTTCTAAATCTGTGAAATTTCTCTATCTGTAGGAGCTATTACAAATGCACATATGTAGGTTGTCCGGTGAGGAAGCACGTGGAGCGAGCATCGCATGATATACGGGCTGTGATCACCACTTACGAAGGGAAGCACAACCACGACGTTCCTGCAGCGCGCGGTAGTGCCGGTTACGCTGCAAATAGAGCTGTTTCCAACAATGGAAACAGCAATGTGCCAATGGCTATAAGGCCTACGGCCATGACCAATAATCCGAACTACATGACAACTAACCTTAACAATGCAAGGTTACCAGAAACCAAAAGTCAAGCACCATACACGCTAGAGATGTTACAGAGCCCAGCTGGGAGTTTTGGATTCGCAGGGTTCGGGAACTCTTCTGGTTCCTATATGAACCAAATGCAAACAGATGACGTGTTGTTGAGAACCAAGGAAGAGCCTAAGGATAACGCTTTCTGCGATTCGTTCCTATACTGAGAATCAAAATGAGTTTTGATCAGTTTGTTATGTTTGGTTGATGTACGATTGCTCAAAGCGTTTAGCTATGTACATGCTAGGACTCATACAAAAGGAGTTAGTTAGTCTCATTTGTTCATTTGTTTCCAGGTCCTTTCCAAGGTTACAACATTGACCAATTCCCACTTTTTGCGTTAGATTAGATAATGACAATAGAATGGAGAAACAGAGTCAACAGTTGAAATTTGAATGCTAGGTTCTTCTCTCTTTCTCTCAGTTTTTCTTTGTAATATCTCAAGAAAGATTTCTAATAAATTACCATTTCTAGGTGTTTGTTTTTGCCTTTCATTCTCACAATTATCTTCCTACTCCTACATGTTGAACTATGAGGCAAGAATAGTATTAAATGACCAACATTTAAGAGAATTTAGTTCTAAGATTTAGTTTGTGATAAAACAATTCCAATGTCTATTAAAATCTATGTCTCAAAACCAAAAACACTTTCACAGACGCATGTTTTTTGGTAGAATTACAGATAATCTCAAAAGAATGTCTTTTTGAATCATACCTTCGAAAAGATTATGCTACTGAAACTATTAGCAACTGCATTGACAATATTCTGTGAGTAATTCTCAAAGAGACAAACACAGAGAGATAAATTAAGGAACAAACAAGAATAATGCCAGAGAAATTCTCAAACAACACATTATCATTGCAACACTACATCAATCAAATGTTTTATATTACAATACTTTATCCAATCCTGAATCACCCACATTCTTCAGGACACGTGCAGTAGAAAAATAGGGCACATTTAACTGACTGACTATACAGAGAAAAAAATGCCTACGTGCTTAAACACAAATTTACATAAACAAGGTATGGCGTGGATGAGAAACGAAGAATTAGTAACACGATAAAATAAAAAAATAGAAGCAAGGAATTACCAAGCAAAGTAGCTTTGCTTAGATATAAGATTGGTTCGATAGTTTGTATCCTGAAATGAGGGATGAACATGCCAGAGCCATGAATGCTAAGAATTCCATGCTAATTGCAGCGGCTGAGGAGTCCGTGAAAATGTTGTCCCCCCCTTCTCGCATCCTGTTTGTCATGGGAACTGCGGCTGATGCTGCAGATATCAGCAAGTACGCCATAATCTACAATTCCAAAAAAAATTCACACCTCAATTGCTATGAGTTAGAACTTGACACACATCATTGGACCCATTTCTCATAGTACAATCTTTTAGGATAATTCATGACTTTAACATAGTATCAGAACTTTTGATTCCTTATGTTTAGTTTTTTGTACTGAACAAAAAATTTTAGAACTCATTACAATGTTTTGTTTGGGAATCAAGGAGAGAAAAAGAATTATTCAAGTTGGGAGAAAAAGAAAAGATTATTATGGTTTCTCTCTTTGTTTAGGATAATTCATGACTTTAACATAGTATCAGAACTTTTGATTCCTTATGTTTAGTTTTTTGTACTGAACAAAAAATTTTAGAACTCATTACAATGTTTTGTTTGGGAATCAAGGAGAGAAAAAGAATTATTCAAGTTGGGAGAAAAAGAAAAGATTATGGTTTCTCTCTTTGCTTGTATAAGCATGAGAGAAGATAACGGTTTCTCTTTTGTTTGGTTAAAATACACAAGACAACTTACATTATTTTACCAAAACAACCTCTCACAAGTCATGACATTATTTATTTTACTTTTTTTTTGTATTTAAATGGGTAGTTTTGACATTATGAAAAGTCCGCATCAGTTGGTTTCTTTTCTCCTCTCCAAATCTATCAACTTTTGTAGAGATTCAAAAATTGTGTTTTAATAGTGTTGTTTTTCCCCTTTCACCCATTTTTCTCCTCTCTAGTTATACAAACAAGTAATTAAGCCAAGAAAATTTTAAATTCTTCTCTATTTTCTCCAAATCACCCAATCGAAACGGCTTAGAGTAAATAGACATTGGTGACTATAGCATCAGAGTTTATGGTTTCCTTTTGTTTAGCGTTTACAAAACACAATCAAATAGAAAATAAAAATAACAAACGGAATTCGCATCAAACAAGAAAGGGTCAGGATCAGCACTTGCTTGAGCTTTCATTTGCAGGAGTATTTTTAAATTTTGTTTTCCTGGGAAAGACAATTCCTTTCCTTTTCAAAGTCTGCGTGACTTGAAAGTCTGGAAACCTCCCAAAAGGCAGGAAATGAAACCAAACCCAATTCCCAATCCCCAATTTAATTTAATTTTTTTCTTTCAAAATTCATTGGATTGAAACAAGAGCATTGCTACATCCGCCAAATTTAGGTTTGCCCGAATTTGTGCATGCCAATCGTCTGGCAGATGCCTGTTGACACACCGGTTGACAAGAGATCATCCAGCTTACATAATTTGGGTCATTCGGCCAAGCTCGAATTCGGTGTATGAATCATTTTTAAAATAGTAATAATTCGTAGAACTAAATCGAAATCAAAGACCAACCTGATCACCAAAGAAGTCAATGAATGCCAAATTCCGAGGCGAAAGGAATTGTTTTCCGGTGGAAAGTTCATGAACTTGCCTCAAGGCTTGCGCACCGGTATACAGAGTCGATAAAATCGCAATCGCCAACACATACCTTCAATCAATCAAAAAAAAAAAAAAAAACTCCACAAATTCAATACAAATTCAACACAAAATCGATCAATTGATATACATAGATATGATATACACACCTATATTCTTCATATTCGTCGAAATTTCTCGAATAGCCGTGTTTGTTGCTGGCCATGATAATCAAAGCGAGGATAGAAAAGAGAAAACATAATCCTCGGACAGCCAGAGAGCCTCTCTTGAGTAAATCCTCTCTCCGCCACCGCTGTAAGATTCCGGGGACGCCGAACCCCCTCGATGGCGGCGGCGCTTGGTTCTCGACGTCGGCGCCGGCCGGCGGAGGAGGAGGTAAGTTCGCCGCCTTTTCCGTGGGATCGTTGGTTGATGACATTTTTGTTGAAAGCGTCAAATGTGTGAGGAAAGAGAGGTGTGAGGAAATGTGCGAAGACCCAAGGAAGCTATTTGGAGAACAAGAGTGTCTCACCAATGCCAGCCATGCCAACAAGACAACCAAGAAGTCTTTTTTTATTATTATTTTATTAATCTTTATCTTGACAATATACTATTATTAAAGTAAAAGCTTTAAATTAGTTTAATAAAACGTCCCTTTCTTTTGATCTCGTGATAATTTTATATATGTTAAAATAAATAAAAAAAATTATTATAAACAGTATAAATAAATTTTAAATCCAAGACTTTAGTTTCATTAAAACATATTTATAATGGTATTAAATGCTATTTATTTTTATCATTAGCTATTTGAATTATACACGTATCGCTTGTGTCATCTACTAGTATATATATATATATATATATATATAATAAGATTGTGTTTGAAATTGTATTTTAGTGGAGCAATGGAAAAAAAAAAAAATTAATTTCCGTAATGGTGCAACTCTCTTGTCTGCATGATGCAAATTTGTTTGCATGTGTTTGGCAAGTGGATTTGCAAGTTTTTTTGGCTATTTTAGTCACAAAAAACAAAATAGACTATTTTAGCCATAACAAACAAACATCACATCCAACCCATAATCATTACATTCTTCTCTCACAAAAAAACTCAAAAAATTCAAAAAGTCCTTCCCAAACCAAGCTTTTAAGCCCAGGTTAAAATAGTCAAAAAAGCCAAAAAATCAACCCACTTCCAAACAGAGGCTTTATGTGTTTTATGCAATTTTTTCTAGAGTTGCATAAAAAAATCTATTTGTAGTGCAATTTTTTCCCACTGCTATGTATTTGCAATTTCTCCAAGAAATTTTGGAAGAAAAATAAAAATGAAAAAACAAATTTAAAATTATATTTCTCACTTTTTTTCTTTTTAAATTTCTCCCTAAATTTATTATCTAAAACACATAACCACATGGGTTTAGGATAGGGTGTTTTTTGTGATTTTTTTTTTACTCTTTTTTTTTTCATTTTTAAAGAAGTTAAGCTAATGCATTTGGTAAGTTGGTTAAAAAAATTAATGTAACATTTAATTTTTTTAACTAATAATAAATGATTTGATAATTTTTTTGACTTTTTAACAGAAGTTGAAATTTTTAGGATATTCTCAAATGGTCACTACATAAAATTCTACCAATTATTCAACAATATTAAGTTATAGAGTGGAGTAATGTATAGAATTTTAAGCAATTTGTTGTATGTTTGAGGTTGATAAAATAAAGTTTTTTTTTTGGGGGGGACAAACAATGAAAAATCTCACTAGAATAATGTATTACGGTAAGTTTAAAGTAATAAATCACTTTTATAAAAGAAAAATTATTTAAAATGAATTAATATAAATTTGACACATAATTTTTATTAGGGATACATTATTAGTCGTAATAGGACCAGTGTGGGTCTCATTTTCATTATTGATTGGAGATTAAAAACATACTATATAATAAAAATAATAATATGTATGTATCGGACTCTTCTAGTATAAATCGGGGGATTGGGTTTTGATTAACCAAAAAAAAAGAGGACGTGGCAAATGATGATTTGTTAGTTTTTGGTAGGGGTGTTGTGTAGGGGAAGATTACTCAAAAGCCCGGGAACTAACTTCTAAAAGATTGCAAACTGTAACGAACTTCGGTTGATACGGACAGTCTGTCTGTTGCTGTCAGCCCACCAGGTGTTCTTAATTTTTTTATTTTTTTTATTTTTTTAACGAAAAATTACTTGCTAGAGGAATTTGTAAAAATTAATTACAAAAATATGAAATAATTTATAATTTTATTTTATAATATTTATCCAAATCTTAAAAAAAAATATGTATAATATTTATCATGGATCTGAAAATGATTTTTCAACTATCAACTGAAGTGTAATTTTCCATTTTTTGATATCAAATTTATATCATTTTATAATAAAATTTTCAAACTCAACTAATTTTTATTTTTGATTTTTACTTTTTTAATTATTAATTATTAATTTATAATAAATTGCATCAAATTAGGGGAGCAACTTCAACAAATTGTGATGTTTTTCAAGTACAATTGGAGTTGTGAGATTTGTCAGGTTCACCTAAATTTAAATTGTAACTCGAGGTTATCTATCTAAATCTAATTTGAAATAGGCCTGAGTTGCTTGAATTGTACATAAATTTGATTTTTTTTTTATATGTAGCTAGGTTAATTAATTTGTTAAAATTAGAATCTATTAATATTTTTTTTTATAATCATTAACAATATTGAAACAAATAATTTATGCAATGTGAAAGAAATTAATAGGAGAGAAATAAGAATTGAAGAACCGATATGCTGCTACGATAGTCTTTACAATTTCTGAGTAAGAAAATAAAATAATAAAGATTTTGTCTTGGGTTACTTGTGTATATAATATTCATATATTGAATATGATCTAACAATCTAAATTATTTTAACATCATTTAACGATTAATAATTTATATATATTTTTTATTTTTTATATATTTAGCCAAATTCCTTTCAAATTAATTTGAACTTCTGAATTTTGATCTAAATTCACATTGAATTCAAAAAAATGTTAGCTAAATCTTAAAAAATTCAAAATTAAACTCAAATTATTTGGATTAAGCCTTCTATGATCCAAACAAAATGTAAATGAGGCGTCAAACAATGTGACAAACCGGAGCACTATCCTAATAAAATAAGACTACATAGACATAGATTACAACAATGTAATGCACATTGTGCACAAGACCAACTCAACGGTGAAACTTCCTAGGTTTCCTAGCAATAGCAAAGCTATCACATTTTTTGGCCCCACTTGCTATATAAAATTTGTTTGAAGAAAGGTGTTATTTGGCAGGCTAATAAAATAGATCTCAAATTTAATTAAAAAATTTGGAGGTGTTATTTGGCAGGCTAATAAAATAGATCTCAAATTTAATTAAAAAATTTGGGAAAGAAAGGTCAAATTTGTTCGGAGATCGGAGTCATTTGGCTCAGCCAATAAATTTTCATAGATTATGTATGAAAAAGAAATTTAAATAAAAATACGTGACAGAGAGAACAAAAGGGCATTTTTTTTCTCCGTAAATCAAATATTTAACCATATTCTTTTTGTTATACCAAAAATTTGTACCAAATCTCTTTAAGATTTGGGTATGTATGACTTACCCAAAAAAACAAATTTGAGAGTTTGTATAACATTTTTAAGATCAGGAACAGAACTAAAATTTCATTATTGGAGAAATTAAATTTTGCATAAAAAATTTTCACCATATTATAGCCTACATATATACTATATGATATGTAAGTTATATATATATATATATATACATAAATAATAAATAATAAAAAAAATACCATGGAGGTAATTTTAAATTGGATTAATAAGCTTTTTTGGTGTAAAATAGAAAATGCAATATCAAAAAAGAATGAGATATATATTTTTTAAAATTGAATGGCCATTTCATACATAAAACGAGATATATATTTTCAAAGTGTTAAAGGAAAATAGTATCCTTCACAAAAGCAGAGGGTCATGCCCCGTATAGTTTCTCTTAGTTTTATGCCTATTTAGGACTACAAAATGAACTAAATTATTCGAGCTGAATTTGTTTTCAACTCATTAAAATTTTATTTGACATTGATTTGTTATGTAAACAAGTCAAATATAAATATAATTTAAAATTCATTAAGTTTTTAAATAAATTTTAAACGGCATGACTTAATTACTCAGGTTCAACTCGTATTTGAATTAATTAAAAACTTGTCTGAAATTGATTCAAAAGTTAAAAATTCAAATATAAATATATTTTGAAATTCCTTCAAATTAAACTAGAACAACTTACCATTCAAGCATAATTAATTATGCATCCGAATCAATTAAAGCAAAAAAGCAAAGATGACTAAACTAAAAAAGATTAGACAAAAGGAATCATTGAGATTATGACATCACAACGAATTGGACCTTTCTCAAGAATAAGATCCTCTCTTCCTTTTGGGCCCATTTTCTTTGATAAGTTCTGATGCTATTTTTCTTTGTTTTTTTCCCTCTTTTTTTTTTTTTTTTTGAGTTATTTATCTGAAGACCCCAAAATTATTGAGAAATATTATTCTATTTTTTAAAATATAAAAGCGTATTAATAAACCCTCTAAATTATTCAAAAAGCATCACTTTGATCTCTTTCATTACGAGGTCCAATTGTATGTTTTTATAATTTAAGATCCATTTGTATGCTTTTATAGTTTTAAAATCAAAATGATACTTTTCAATAATTTAGAAGGTTCATTTGTACGCTTTTATAGTTTACGAGGTTTTCCTATAAATAACTCTTTTTTTTTGTTTTAGGTAAATCACACTCACCTCAATTGAGGCTAAAGAAAAATACAATTAGTCTCACAAATTTAACATAATTACACTAATTTTTATTTAAATATGGCTAAAATAATCAAAACTAATACAGATAATAGGTAGACCCTGAAATAAACATAGATATGTATGTATAAATATTTTAGTTAAAAAGAAATAACAATATTATTTTTTATCTATATGACTAACAAATTACAAATAAAAAATTACTTAAAGGCTTGTTTGATTAAGTGGATTATAGTTTAAAATTGAAATTATTAATACATGAGACTTACATTCCATAGTTTGGCTACAAATTTTATTATTTAGATTAAATTCAATAGTCATTCTATCCAACAAAATTGATAAATTTTTTAACCATATGACTTGCGGGGATGTATTTTTAGGGTCATGCCACGTGACCGAGGTGCCGCCAAGGTGTTGGCCAAGGTGCCGTCGAGGTGTCACGTGAACGAGCTAGATTGCCGAAGTGATTGTAGTATTGTCGATATATGATGCAGTAATACCAGAATCCGAGATATTTTGATAGAGGACAAGAGTCCTAAATAAGTGAGGCACTTAGTTCAAATAGGGATGAGACTCTTGTAGAATTCATCCATATCTAACTAAGAGTCCGAGATAAGCATTGCACTTGAGTGCTATGAAGTGAGACTTTTAGGGGACAAGGGCATTAGCTATAAAAGTGAGGCACCCCCGTGAGTCTAAAGTATGCTTTTACTTGTGCAC